AATTACCACACGGATCTCCCAAAAGTCCCCTTCCCTAATATTATCACATTGTGGTTAGGGCTTTGACACAGGAATTTCAGGGGTGGGGACACAATTCAGTCCATAAAAGGGACAAACACAGTGGGTTAGAGGGTGGATTTTTCCTCGCTCTGAGAGAAGCACCTGGCCCAAAGTAGGCCTACCAAGTGTCAGCTCTCACATCAACACCCTGTGAAGATGCTATGCCAACCTGGGACTGGGCCCCCCATGGCGTAAAGCAAATGCCCTAAGACTGTGAGGTGACAGACCAGCCCAGCGTGGGCAGGCTAGACAGAAGGTGCCAGGATCAGGCTCTGGGGCCCAGTCGCCCATTATGGTCATTTTCCTCAGTGGCTGTTGATACAACATTGGGGTGTTGCTATTTCTCCAGAGACTAGATTTTTGAGGGATAATATAACTTTTAGCAATTTCTTAACACCTGCCCCAAAGCTGGATCCCAGCTAAGTCTGGTCCTCAGCGTGGGCCGCAGACCTCCCTACCTTTTGGTGAAGAGGATGGAGCTCTCCACGGCCCCTGTGGAATCCTCATAGGCAGTAGGCTCACTGCCTCTCCTCTCCAGCTGGTCTGAGGAATAACCACCTTCCATGTCTCTCCTCTATGAACCTGGAAGCAAACCCGGAGACCCACAGTAGCTCTCAGGGCTCCTGGTAAGTGCCCACTGACCGCCCACCGCCCACGGCCTCAGAGGAACCGCCCCTTCCCCAAACCGGACCTGGTCCAAGACCACCCCCCCACCCATCCTGTTAGAACCTCCAGGAAATCCTCACCAGAGCTCCGAGGGTCTCCTGTCCCTTCCGTGGGGTGAAAACCACAGGAAGAGCCGGTGGGGCCACCCTCCCACGGCCACAAGTGGCGAGGTCAGTCCAGCGCCAGCTAAGTACCCTCCATTCCCCCGGGGTCCTCAGGAGCCAGCTGCGAGGGCGGCTGGACCGGGCGCAGGTGCGTGGCCCCCACCCAACCCCTAACTCACCTCACAGCCTAACAGGCAAGTCGGGTCTCAAATTTCCTCTCTGCTCCTCCTCAGGAGCGTGGGACCAAGCGCAGCCCCCGCCGCCGCCTCAGTGGAGCTCAGAGACACCTCCCCGCCCCCTCAACACACACACACACACACACACACACACACACACACACACACACACACACGGCTCACCGCAATTCGCTGCTGCCCCGCCGGGATCCCGACCGCGCCCCTGCCACAGGGTCACACCAGGCTCGGAGAGCTCACAGCGGCCACAACAGGTCAGCCAGCAGCGCAGGCCCGCTGGCCAGTCTCCACTGGGCTCAGTGCTGGAGCCCAACAGCGTCGGGTTTCCCTGGAGACGACCTCACTCCCCGCCCACGTGCCCGCTACGGCTCTTGGCCTGGCCAATCCCGCGCCCGCCTCTCCCGGACACGCCCCCAGGCGTTCAGGGTCGGGGCAAGGTGTGACCCTCTGTGACTTCACAGGAACCCCTGGCCGGGTGTACCTGCCCTCTGACCTGCCCGGTGGGCACACACCCTCCCCGCACCTCCGCACGTGCTGCTGGCCTTCTGTCTGAGTCCCCCCGCAGGGAGCCGGCAGTCGGTCTCCACCCTTCACTGACCCCTATGTCCAGCAGAGATGCTGGGTCAGCCTCTGGCCTAGGGCATATCCGGGGAGATGGAGCGAAATGCTGCCAACGCCCCCGCGAAGAGGGCCCCGAGGAAACGGCCGCACAGCAGAGGGATAAATTAACTTGTCTACCATCGCCGGATCGGATCGAGCTCTGCCTGGCTCTGAAGCGGGCTCCTTCCTCAGTACATGTTTGTGGGAGGCACAGAGCGGGAGCTCAAGGTCTGGTGGGGAAACTAGATGAGGCAAAGGCCTGGGCTCACTGGGAGAGAAGGATTAGCTGTTGGGACTGACAAGTTAGAAGTCTCCAGAACACCTCTTTTTGGGCCATATTTTGGGATTTAGAATTGTTTGGCCAATCTCACCAAACTGTCAGATTTTTCACAAATAAGTGTGTGTGTGTGTGTACAAATAGTAGTTTTAAACTACTGTCTAGTCCAGTAATTCTCAACCTTCCTAATGCCGCGACCCTTTAATACAGTTCCTCATGTTGTGGTGACCCCCAACCATAAAATTATTTTCGTTGCTACTTCATAACTGTAATTTTGCTACTGTTATGAATTGTAATGTAAGTATCTGATACGCAGGATGTATTTTCATTGTTACAAATTGAACATAATTAAAGTATAGTGATTAAAAACAAAATGTAATTACATATGTTTTCCGATGGTCTTAGGCGACCCCTGTGAAAGGGTCGTTCGATCCCCAAAGGGGTCGCGACCCACAGGTTGAGAACCACTGGTCTAGTCTTTTATATTGGGCAGTATATTAGTTTCCTAAAGCTGTTGTAACAAACTGGGTGGCTTAAACCAACATAAGTTTTTCTTTCATCAGTGTTTGTGTCTCCAAATCTTCCTCTCCTATAAGGACACTAGTCATTTGGTTTAATCCGGTATGACATCATTACATCTGCAAAGACCCTATTTCCAAATAAGGTCATTAACAGGTACCAGGGGTTTAGGACCCACCATTCAACCCTCAACAGGTGATAGGATTTACCAGGTTTGTAGGATCTTTTGAAGTGTTAGTTGAATTTCTCTTTACATAAACACATTTACAGACAGCGCGTTGTGCCTCTGCTCGGCTTCCCAAACTGCTGTTGAAGGGAGCAGGAAGGAGGGCGCTCCTCAGGAAGCTGGTGTCAGGTCCAGAAGAGGGTGGTCCAAACTAAACCAGCCATCAAGGTCAAGAGAATAGGCTGGAGACAGAGACTTGTTACCCACTCATTCGCTCCGTGGGATGAAGGAGTGTGACGGATCATGTAGGCCTTGGAACAGAAAACCCACCTCATCCTCCAACAATAAAGGGTGATTTGCTGGCTCAGGAAACCGAACGGCCCCAAGAGGAAGGTCTCAGGTTTGGTTTGGTTCAGTGGCCCAACAATGTCATGAAGGATGTGGTTTCTCCCAACGTGGCATTCACCCAAGGCTGCCTTTCCCCTTGTGGTGTTAAGGATAAAACGGAGATCTCCATGCTCCTCTCCGCCTCGGTTCATGAGAGCCCAAGCCCTTTGATGAAGCAATGATGGGATAACAGCCTTACTGATTGGCTACAGGTAACCAGGACCCACTTCTGGAACTGGCAGACAGAAAATCTATTTGGTTGGCTCCCATGAACTTGGGAAAACGGGAATTTCATTGCTTCTCCAACCCAAGAAAGCCCATCTGTCCTTAGGGAAGAAGAAGAAAATGGATTCTGGGAGGGCTTTTGTGGGAAATGTCCGGACCTGCAGTCAATGAAGACCTGGCTGCAAAGTGGTATCTGAGTCTTTAGCTCAGCAAGGAGCTGGCCCAGGTTGTAACAAAGATCTGATGGTTACCAGTGCTTGGAGGCTGCAGCTGAACCGAGAGAATAAAGACCACCCAGAGATTATACATAGGTTAATTCTGTCAGATTTATCCAGTACTAGGTATGGGGTAGGGGGTGGAAGGGGTTTGGTACTAGAAGATAATCTCTGGTAGAATGGGTTGCAAATCTTAGGCAAACAATGGAGATGAATCAGAAAATTTTACTATCATCAGATTAAAATTGAAATTGCAACTAAATAAATATATGCAAGGCTGCAGTCAGTTATTTTTCACTGAAACCATTCCCTGAAAGGAATGGGTCATCAGAAAAATCTATTGAAGAGGTGGTATTCTTTTTCTTTTTTTACTATATTTCTATTGATTTCGGAGAAGGGAGAGGGAGAGAGAGAAACAGCAATGATGAGAAAAATCAGTGATGGGCCACTTCCTACACTCCCCACACCTGGGGATCAAGCCTGCAACCTGGGCATATGCTCTGACTGGAAATCCAACCGTGATGACTTCCTGGTTCATAGGTCGACGCTCAACCACCGAGCCACGCTTGCTGGGCTTGAAGAGGTATTCTTAATGAATCTTACTGAAGAGGCAACTGTGTGGATATTACATGATACTAACTTTTTGAAGTTAACAAGGATGTCTCAAAAGTTAATAACTTAGAAAAATAACAAAAATACCGTATATTAAAAAAATGAAAAGTTAATGGTAAATAGCTTTATATAAACTATGTTTTACAATAAAAGGGAAATACCCCTAACCAGTTTGGCTCAGTGGATACAGCGTTGGCCTGCAGACTGAAGGGTCCCGGGTTCGATTCTGGTCAAGGGCACATGCCCAGGTTGTGGGCTCCATCCCCAGTGGAGGCCATGCCGGAGGCAGCTGATCAATGATTCACTCATCATTGATGTTCCTATCTCTCTCTTCCTCTCTGAAATCAATAAAAATATATCTTTAAAAAATAAATAAAAGGGAAATAAAATGCAGAAATTACAAAGGGCAACTTATCAGGAAGCAGATAACAGGAGGAATAAGCATAAAGCTATACTAAAGGGCACCTCAGCCCGCAATACAGTTATAGGAAGTAGTTATTAAGAATACATGATAAAAAGAAAAATACACGAAACCAAGCGATTTACCAAGACAACGATATCGAGAATACTGGTCAGGTGCGGATGAGGATCTGTGACAGGGCCCCCCTGCTCCTCTGCACAACAGCCACAGCTTGAGACGCCCCCTCCCCGAGCCCCGCGGTAGCCCACCTGGCCCGCCCGCCTGGTCAGACTCCGGTGCAGCTGAACCTCTCGGGTCGCAGGGACCTTCATCCAATTCTAGAAGCCCGCCTCTCCAGTCTGCTGGTAAGCTCCTCCCACAAGTAGCACCCATAGCCAATCAGAGGAGGTGCCCCGCAGGGCCTGACTAATGAGGAGGTGGCCAGGAGCTTGTGGGCGGGACCCGCTCGTGCACAGCCGAGATGCTGACCTCTCCGGGCGGCCCTCGGATACCTTTAGGACCCGGGCCAGCCTCCAGACTTCCCAAAATAGACCCCCGGGCCAGATGCCTGAGCGCGTCATGGACTCCGGAGGAGCCGAACGCCTCGGCGGCGGCCCGGCCACACAGCCGCCATTGGCGCACGTCGCCCCCTCGCTCTTTCTCGGGAACGCACGCACTGCAGCAGCGTCTGAGCTGCTGGCGTGCGCGGGCGTCACCCTGTGCGTTAACGTCTCGCGCCAGCAGCCCGGGCCGCGCGCTCCCGGCGTGGCCGAGCTGCGCGTGCCCGTGTTCGACGACCCAGCCGAGGACCTGCTGGCCCACCTGGAGCC